ATCACCGCCAGCCCTTACTCCTATAGCTCCTACTACAGTGCCTATAGCAGCGGCCCGTATGGTGCTAGCTATGGGGGCAGCTATGCCGGGGTGCCCCCCAACGCCGCCCCCGGCAGCCCTGCCGTGAACGGGAGCTTGGGCATGGCCGGCACTGCTCAGCACCAGCCCGCATGTTTGCAAGCCAGCGTGCAAGCGGGGATCAGGGCTTGGTAGATGGCCATGGAGGTCAGGACCGCCTGAAAAGCACCGAGGAAAGCCCCCTCCACTCCAGAGCCCAGCCTTCATCGGGACGGGAGCTGAATCGGAGGGTTTCTGCCAGCCCGGACAGCGGGACAACTCCGGAGCATCCGTCCCCTCCAGGCAGCTCCTGCTGTCACGTCTCTGCAAAGGCAGGTCAGGAGAGAGGGGGACGCTGCCGCGCCAGCACCGTGACTTTGGGGACCCAATGACTGAGGGCATTTATTTATTTAAACACAAATGTTTCGGAGTCTGGCCCTTCCCTCCCAGAGGGTTTGCTCCTCCAGGGTGTCAGTGCACGGCCATCAAGAGGGTATGAACACTGCTTTTCTTCCTAACTGGAAAACAGGGTCTGTGCGCATCACTTGTGCATTCACTTTTTTATGAACACTATTTAATGCTTTGAGTTCCTCTAAACTTTTGAGATACATTTCTGATTTATATTCGTAATATCTTTCTAGCACAGGTGCTAATTTCTGTCTTTATTATTATTATTGGCAAATAAAAACCACATTGGTGAAATTGTGTGTTTTCCCTCGCTCGCCATTCCTCACTTAGTATTTTGACTTTTCCCATCCACAATTTGCACGTGAGCATCAAAATCTGACTCAAAGGAAAAAAAACAAACCAAAACCAAATCAGTCTTAATACTAATAATTAATCCAGAAAGATAATTGCCTTGTAGTCCAAGCCTGGGGAGCTTCCAAGGTTGAACCCCCTCCCTAACTCTTGGCAAGTGTTTCCAACTCTCTGTTGCTATTTCCTTACTGGTAAAATGGGTTTGCAGGTACATCGTGGGGCAGCTGCGAGGGGCAGCCCCATAGTTACGGGATCACACGGTGGGCTGGTGTCATCTGAATTATACCAACGCCATCGGTGCTGAACCAAGAGGTGCAGGATCCTCAAATCACGATCCGTTGGCATCAAGTGCCTTGCTGGATCAAAGGACTGCATGCATATTCTTATATATATGTATATATTTATGAAATGCAGGAGGGCTGACTGTCATTGCGGTGTTCTGGGGCAGACCAAAGGGGAGCACAGTCACATCCCGAACAGGCGGCATGAATCCATGGCCTCGCACCCAGTGAGACCTCATTAGACCGATGCACTCACCGGCTGCCCATGACCCCCCGTGCAGGCTTTGCAGGGCAAAAACCACGCAGAGGTCAATGCCTGCTGCAAAATGTTGGTTTCACGGAGATCTTTCCACTACAATGCCAAGATATCCCAGTGACGGAGCCAGACAGCAACCTGCACACAGCACAAGACAGGCAAAATCTCCCCCTCACAACCTCCGTCCCCGCTCCGGGCTGCTGCCCTCTCCTCCCCGCTCCTTTCCCGACAGCTTCTTATCCTCCCAGTGTTTGGTGAAAAGAGACTTGCAGGAGGCAATTAAGCTTTTATCTCTAATCCCACTCAGCCCCATCACTCCGGCGTTCACTCACTTCCCAAATGGGACATCCCTGACATCCAAATCAAACCAGAAAAACCCTCTCGGCAAGATAGCTTGCTCGCTGTCCTGCCTCTCCGAGGCTTTGCAGCCCCACCGAGACCCTGGAAGTGACTGGGTAAGGCGAAAGCTGCACTGGGTGCTGCCCCTTCTCCTCCCCTTCATCCATCCACACTCACTCGGGGATATCTCCCGAAATAAGCCGAGTCTTGGCTCTCTGTCCTGGCTTTGGAGAAGCCAGGGGACTCGACGGGGTCCTTGCACCGGTAAATGCTGCTGGCATTGGGGAAAGCCCCGGCAAACAGCAGCATCCCCACTGCCTGGGCTCACCTGCAAGTCTTAACAACACTGAGAGTTTTTCCTTCGAGGTTCAGCAATCAAATGAGGCAAATCACATGAAACTCCCCCCAAATAAACATAGAAATCAAAGAAGGAAATTACTACCCTCCCCAGCTCAGAAAAAAGCCGGAAAATGGGAATCATGTGCGCTGAAGGCATCGTTTGTGCCCCTCCATATGTTTTGGAGGGGTTTCCCGAAAGCCCAGTTCCTGTAGGGTCAGGATAGCCTTAAAACCCTGGTGTTTGCCGGGTCCCCTCTGTCACCTGCCTCTCTGCAGCACACGCCAGGGCTGCTGCTTTAAACCTCCTCTGTTTCCAGCCCAAATCAGAAATTACCCGCTACACCCACCGCTGTAAAAATGAACTTTCCCAAACACGTACGCAAAGCAGCCCACATTTCCCCAAAGCCTTCTCCTGGACAAAAACTCCTGTCCTGGGCCAAATTACTCACTGCTTATCAGCTACGAGTTATTTTCACCGAGTGAGCCGCGGATGTGGACACTGGCAATGAAGGGAAAAGAGACGTGACCACAAAAGAGCTTTGCAATGAGGCTGCTGAGGACAGACCTACAGATGGAGGGGTCAAGCACACGGACAGCAGCAGGAGATTTCACTAACAGTTATGGTAAAGCTGTGGCAGCCCAGCGCTATTGGCAGGAAAATGCTTCATTGAAATGAAATGATCCCCCTGGAAGGAAGGGAACTGCCCAGTTTCTGGGAGAGGAACCCTTCTGCTCAGTCTTATGTTCCCATCTTTGTGTGGTAGAGCCCAAAATATTTGTGGATGCAGGACAGGCTGAGTCCCTGGGTGTGCGGCGGGGGGGATAGGCACGTGCTGAGCTCCGACAACAGCGAGGGCAGCCTAAAATCGGCAGCGGTAGAGTCTCTGCAGTGGGAAAATTGGCTCCCAAATTGGGTGTGGGGTGCCCCCAGGGAACGGCACGGCTTCCTGACCGGAGCGAGCATCCCTGCACAGTGCTGTGCTCACGGTCACGCCAACATGCCTTTGGGCAAGCCCTGGTCCTGCCAGGGGACCCACTGGTGCCCCTCGGGGCTCCCCCTCCGTCCCAAGCTCCCCTGGGCAGCACAGTGGGATCCAGATTAAGCGCTGGAGCGGGCAGGCAGGGACCCATGGGGCAGCCCACCCACCCACCCACCCGGCCGCAGCAGCACCTTATGTTGGGTTCCAGTTGCTTCATAAATCTTTCCAGGTTCCCTTTCTCAGACTATAGGAGGTTCATGAGGCTGAATTATTGAAGCTACTGAAGTTTTCCAAGCACACAGGGAATATAGGGGGATATTTTCTAAGCCAGGAGCATCGGCAGGTTAAAGAATGAGAGAAAAGGGCAGGTTAAAAGCAGGGTTTGGGGCACGTCTGCACAACCTGCTCTGGGCTTCGGGCTGCCGTAACCAAACACCCTCCTATAAAATCAACAAAGTCCTCAGGGGATTTCAAGGAAATCTATTGTTTCCCTTTTTAAGGTTAAAAAACATGCCTGGGCTTTTCGGCTGAGGACAAGGGGCTGGGTTTGAGTGAAGGCTTTAGGAACAGAAGAGGTGATCAGTGCTACATTATTCCAACAGCAAATAGAGTCTGCAGACAATAGGGCTATAGGGGGGTCACTGTATATATAGAATCATAGAATCGTTTACATACGTTGCTCAGAGGGTGCCCGCAGTTCCCAGGGATGCTGCCCATCTGCATCCGCGGAGCCGAGTCCCGCTCCCACAGGGCTTCCCCACCAGATTGCTTTGCCTTATGATGGGGCAAGGTGATTTTTTAATCACGTGCTGCCCACATCTGGGCGAGGGGGGTTCGCTGCTGTTTGTGTGGCGAGCGGGGAGTTGTTTTCCAAACAGAAACTCTAGAAGAACAACTACAAATAAAGTGGATACTCCAAAAAACAATCTGTTATAACAGAGAGCTCCACTCATGGTTTTTCTTGGAATCAGGAAGGTTTTGCTCCTTTTGGGTGCCTTTGAACACAGGGCCTTGCAGGATGGTGTATAAAGGCACTAAGTCTTCTTAAATAAATGCTGTCCCATTCCACAGCTGGTCGAGGAATTAGTCTGAGGTTTAGGCTTAAATTTTCATGTGAACCCTCTGCCCCTTTCTGTGCAAGCATTTGCCTCTGGAGCTGCTCTCCCTGCCTGTTACATCTTAACTTTCATTTTAAAGCCCTCGTTAAAGCAGCTTTTCAAAGCTGATGAAAATGTCTTTGACATGTTTTCCCTGTTTTTCAACAAACTGAAAGTGCATCAGAGTGGAAGGTTTTGAAGAAAACCCTCAAAACCCTCAAAATACAAAAAAACCCCCACGCCAATCCTTTTCTTTTTCTTCACTTTCCCCCCTGAAAAGAGCATTTCCCCAAAGAGCTCTAGAGATTACCCCGGGACATAAATCATTTCCATAACCAGGAGTAAGCAGAGCACCGGCTCGCTGGGGCTGGGGCAGGGGATGCAGAAGCTGTCCCCTTGCAGAGCATCCCTCCAAGGCAGCGATGCTGCTCCCCCCTCCTCTCGCCAAAACCCCCACCCTGGGAGCATTTTGATCCCAAAAAGGATGAATTCACTTAGGCATCCTTCTCTCCTCGCAAAAGCTCGGAGGTGATTTGCCAGCAAAAGAGCAACGGGGGGGGGGCAAAAGAGGAAGCTGAGGTTTGGCTGTGACCCCATGGATCCGTGGGGAAGGACGTCCTGAGCAAGAGGGAGAAGCAAGCAGGCAGAAAACCCGCAGGAGCCAAGACACAACCGAAGGGCGTAGACTCCTGCCAGGGATCTCCAATCAGGCCCGGGAGGCTTGGCTGCCTGCCGTATAAATGCAGAGCCGGGAGGGTGGGAAGCCAGTGTGCCTCTGGGCAGGGAGAGGAAGAGGAGGATGAATGCCGGGGTGCTCCCCAGAAGGAGGCAGAGAGCACCCAGCAGCACCCCATCAGGGATGAGCTGGACCCCGACGGCAGCCCAGCAGACCATGCCTGTCCCCTCCAGGCCCCGGACATCCTTCCTCATCCAAGACATCCTCTGGGATGGGGCAGAGCGAGGAGCGCAGCCAGAGCGGGACAAGAGCGGAGGGTTTGGCAGCCCAGAGGACGGGGAGCCGGGGGCGGCCCCGGAGGAGGGGAGCGAGGCCAGCTCGGCCCTGGGGACTGCCCCAGGGCACCCCCCCCGGAGCCCTCGTCCCCCAGGAGCATCCCCAGCCCAAGCCCGAGGGACATCCCATGAGGCGGACGCAGGTAAGGGGGTGGAAGCTCCTGGCTGAGCCCGCTGGTCAGGGAATGGATCAGCAATGGCTACGCTTGGGTCAACCAAGGGGCAGGATCCAGACCTGGCTGCCTCGAGCACCCCAGAGCCAAATAAGCTCTGCTTTAAATACCAGGGAGTATCTGTGCTTTAGCAGTGAGAAAGTAAGAGAAATAATAACTGCGTGCAAACCTTTTGCCAGGCACTTCAAATAACTCAAAGGACTGAATCTGCCTAAAACTCTGTTTAAATAAAGCCCAGTCGATGGATTTCTGCGATATCTTGGGAAATAAAGTTCCCTTTTAATGCAGAAGGTCCGCAGCAAGGGGACCTCGGGGCTGCCCTCTCAGAGAGGCCGTTTGTGCCCCTCCTTCACGCAGCCGTCAGCGCGGTGATGCCACCGCAGCCGAGCTCCTCGGTGCCTCTGGTCCGGGGATATTTTGAAAGTCCTCGTGTTGAATTTGTGCCTTTTGCAACAGGGCTCAGCTTTCCCGTGTGCTCGGCAGTGTCCGCCTGCCCGTACCGCTGCACATCGCGTGATTCATTAATAACGATCCTGCTCCTCCTGATACAACGCTACCAGCACCTCTTTCTAGCATGCAACTGCTAAATTCGTTGCAGGCAATAACACTTTGCTGCAGAAGCAACATACCGAAAATCACACCCAGAAGCAAATTTTTTCGATCAGTGCCTCTCTCATTGCAGCACGGCCGGGGCTGCGGGAGGGGACTCAGCCTTTCCTTGCTCAAGCAGTCCTGCGCTGAGCTGCAACAGCCAAAAAAGCAATTTTGAACTCTCTAGCGACCAGCTCTTGCTTGCTAAGGGAGCCCTTGCCAGGGGAATTTTGGCTTTACGTTTCAATTCTATTAAAAGAAGCTTCTACATAAAAGCAAGTTCAGAAACAGCCGCCAGACTGATTATTACGAAAATCGTTAAAAGCCGTACCAAATCTCTCAGAAAGTGGCTAGTGTAAATCAGCGTAGCTCCAGGGATTTCAGAGACAACCATGATTTACACAAGCTGGGAATTAAGCCCATTTTTTCCATCTTGAGCATTATGTTCACATCTTAAGAAAATATACTAAGAAATAACTAAAGGAAAAAAAAATTGGCCTATTTCCATCCCAAGCTGGGTAATACATAAAAAGGAACTAGCTGCATAAATAAACTGACTTAAGAAGTTTTAACAGTTATAAGTGACACTTCGCAGGGAGCTCAGCACCTTTCTGGGTCGCGGCTCAGGCGACCCACTGGTGCCGCGAGAAAGAAGTCGGCGGCAAACACAGCTTTGGAGCTGTGATCCGAGACCAGGTCTGCGGCTATACATCTAAACCCAGGCCTGAAGGTTTAAAAATCTGCCCCCAAATTTCTTGGCATTGCCTTGGAGTCGTGAAAGGGAAAAGGGAGGCATTTCTTTTCAACGCTTTCTAATTGCAGTCTGCTTTAAGCTGCACCGATTTCCCATTTCTGAGCTATCTGTAGCTTGAGGATAAAAATTTGTTTTCTTTGGGGAATCAGGATTTTTCATTGGCACGGCAGCGAGGAGGTTTCAAAGAAGTGCCTAATAGTATGAATTCTGCAATAAAAATCTCAAGAGCTGTCGATGCTATAATGTACGTAACAACGGTACCTTGAGGTTCAAGATGGATCTCCCCTAGCATTGCAAAATATCCCTTTCTGTATTATTTTAGCCCCTTGAATGTATGTTTATATTGAATGCACGCTTATATGAATTAAGAAAGTGTGATTTAGGGAGAGAAAACTCCCTATATTACTTTAAGATGGTGTTCGCTCCGTTAAATGAAAGTATTTCCAAGATAATATGAATATTTTGCTCTCTGGAAGGGAAAAAGCAAGTGATTCGGACAACTTCCAAGCGGGTAATTCTCAGCTCTTTCCTCCCGCAGATGTCACGGCGGAGATCTACCTGTCAGACTGTGACCCCCCCCTGCGACCCCTGCCCATCGCCCAGTGCCCCCCGAAGCAGGCGAAGCGCTCGCGGGCGGCGTTCTCCCACACCCAAGTCATCGAACTGGAGCGGAAATTCAGCCACCAAAAATACCTGTCGGCCCCCGAGCGAGCCCACCTGGCCAAAAACCTGCAGCTCACCGAGACCCAGGTGAAAATCTGGTTCCAAAACAGGAGGTATAAAACCAAGAGGAAACAGGTCGCCTCCGAAATCAGCAGACTGGACACGCGTCTGGCCGGGCAGAAAGCGGCCGAGCTCCCTGGAGCATCGCTGCTCGCGCTGCGGGGCGGCTGGCAGTACCTGCCTTGCCTCTACTACTTGAACGGCTGGAGTCCTTCGTGGTGGTAACCGCTTTTTTAAGTGGAAAGCAGCCTTTTTTCTTAAATTTTTTTTTTTTTTTAATACTGCGTTGTTCTTTCTAGTGCTAATTAGGGGAGGGAGACCCCATTCGCAGTCATGATCAGCATCTTCTAGCTGCCGCACGAGCCTCTCTCATTGCTAACAGTAAAAAAAAAACAAACAAAAAAAGCCCAAGATTTTAAAAGCATGTAATTCAGCACGCTTCACAGCACTGCTCTGGGGTCGATCTGCAGCTGTAAAATATTGCAGGCTCTTTCAGGGGCAGAAAGCAAGGGGCAGTCCAGCCCTGGAGGCAGCGATCGCCCCTCTCTGCCCCTCCTAAATCGCCTGCGCCCCGCTGAAGCCTTTGCCCCTTGCTGAGATCAAGCAGGCAAAGAGCAAACTGCTGATCCTGGGCTGGCACTGGTACAGCCCCAGCTCGACCACTTGGGCCACCAGCTGTTGTATGATCTAAAAATTAAGCTTAAAAAAAAGAAAAGGCAAAAAATTTCTGCCATTGATGTTATAATTGCTAATGGTCCTAGAGGGGACTTAGAGCTCCCCCAAGATTTCTGTGTGCTGTCCGGCAGCACCACAGCCTCCACCTGGGGCAATGCGCTTTTGGGGAGAATTAAACCCCTTTCTGCCACGAGCAACAACAACCCGAAGTGCCTGACGGCCACGGAGCTGCAGCCGGGACATGAGCAAAGGCGGCTGCCCTGGCCGGGATGGAGCCGTGCCAGCTTACCCCCACCCAAACCCGTCCCTCTGCCCTTCGACGGCCGAGATGCCAACTGCCGCTGCCGGTGCCTTGAGAAGCCAAACCAGAAAGCCTCGGGAACACGGACAATAGCGCAATGACAGATGAGTTTTGCATATCCGGGTGTTGACACTGTTTGAACATTCCCATATAAGCTATTTAAAATAGCAACAGCTCAAAGAGTTCAACGCTTTCCGTCAGCTTTCAAAGCAGCAAACTCCCTGTTTGCAAGTGAAATCAGCTCAATTCCCAGCGCCAAGGCATCAGGGCAGCGAGAGGATGGTATCTTTACAAGTGACTTTTTAGGGAGCCAACAACTATTTGCACTAGCAGAGTAGCAGAGATTTATTTTTGTTGCAACTAATCATACTTAAAACTTTAGATGCCATTAAGTCTATGGGAGAAAGTGTAGAAATAAATGATATTTCCAAGAGAGGAAAGGCCTGAACTGCTGTTTCTCAGCTAGTGTAAATCAGCATAGCTCTGCTGGGACAAATTTAATCTTCTAAAACACAAGTACATGGAGATTTCTTCCCTGTGAACCTCCAGAAATGTTTCTGTGGTGTCTGTTCTTTCTGAAAAAGACTTAAAAATCACAGCGGTCCAATTCCCTCCTGCAGCAGGGAAATACAGACAATGAGATAATGTTAAGTAACTGCTAAGATCTGTCCCTTTTAACAAGATTATTTGGAAACTGATCTTTTGCCTTACAAACAGGTCCAGATCTTGCAAGCTCACAGACATAGCAAAGACGAAGCTGCTGGGGGTACGTGGATGAGGAAAAACTCAGGGGAAGGGCGGGCAGGGAGAGGAGAACATGCAAACTGAAACCCTTTGTGGCAGATATTCTTGCTATCAAAGCTGTTTGCCCAATTTGGAGGACAACCCGTTGCCTTCTAATTGTCTGAAAGTAACCCTTATATCTTGAGATAACATTTTTCTTACAGCTCCTGCTCTCAGATGCTGCATATCCCCCAGCCTGTTCTCTGGCAGCCGGCGTTCGGGCCAGAAGGCCATCTCCCCTGCACTGTTGCAATGTGTTTCAAACCCAGCCCTGCTGCTTATCCACTTTGCACTTTGCTTATCCGCTGCTTGGAACAACAACAAAAAAGCCCTTATGGCCTCGAAGCCAAGCCCCTGCAGGGCACACATCCCTCCTGATGGCATCTCCAGGGGGAGAAAGTCCTGCCAAAATCCCATGGGCTCACCGGGACCCTTGGGATGCTGCTTCAATCAATGCAGAGACGCTATATTTGCACTAAATACACTGGATTGGCAGCTCTGACCATCCCAGAGCTGCCCTGAATAGGGATCACGGTGTGTCCTTTGCATAGACAGCGGAGGAGCAGCAGGGATGGGCACGTTATGCTGGGAAGAACTGAATTGGGCTGGGAAAATTAGATATAAACTGAACTTCTTGGATGCTTCTTTGGGAAAAAGTTTGTGTCATAGCTACTTTTTTTTTTCCCTGCTCATGGTTTACAACCAGTAAAATATCCTTGTTGCTTCAACACCCAACTGCTCCTACTTAACTTTGCTGGTATAGAGCAAGTCCAGTGCAAATAGTCGCTATTTTTGTACATAGTTTTTGATACTATTTTATCTGATATGCATTGTCCTTTGGAATAAAGAGCGCAGAGTCTTTATTAAAAACAAGCTGCCTCTGTGGGTTTTTTGCCCTGGGTTTGGATTTTCTTTTATTCACTGTTTCTGCCACGAAATGACCGCGGCTGTGTCACGAGCACCAGCTTCTCACACAAACGCCTGTTGCAGACACAGTGCTCGGGTGAGTTTTGTGCAGTGAATTGTCACAAGCACTGGCTCACAAGGTTTTGCGGGTGGTAAATCACTGCTCATCACTATTTCTAGGGGCCCAGCACCAAATGTTGCTCCGTCACTCATCCAGCCAGGTATAGAGTACTACTGAGCATCCTCTAATCCCATTTACTGAGCATGAAACACGTGATTATTTCTCAAAAGTATGAGCTTATATAGTGAAGTACTTTCTTTATCACCCCCAAATTACCTACAACCCCACAATTTAAGCACAATCCCAGTGGCCTCCAGAGTTTTGCACTATAAGCACTGGTCCCAGTTGTTATTTCTGCCCCTGCCTTCCAGTCCTGCAACCACATCAGCGCAATCAGGGGCAGCGTTGGTCCCCGTAGGACCATAAGAAGAAGAATTCATCCTGGGAGCCGTCAGTGTGAATATTTCCCCCTCGTACAGAGGCAGAGAGGGACCGACCTTGGGTCCCAGCCTGCCCGTGCACACATCCCCTCCCCTCTGCTGTTGGCAGCAGCAACTTTCCCAAATTGAAAGGGAGTTGCAAAAACTACCATTACTCCCAGCTTAATTTTGTGTTCTAGTAGCTTTAAAAGAAAAATTTAAAAAACCCAAAAGCCAAAACAGGCATCAAGATGGTAAAATGAGATCTCAGGGGAGCTCCTATTGCCTTAGGAGGCTGGTGCTGGATCCTCACCAGCCAAATCCTCAGGCAGACGCAGCTCGCCAGGCTCCACCGCCTTCACCCGGCGATTTCGTGGAAGGGAGCAGCAGCTCTGGTACGTGGGTGACCGTTTGTCAGACGCAGGGACAAGCAGCGGTCCCTGCAGCCAGGGCTGGAACTCGGATCTCCTCCCCCTGCACTAATCCTGCCAGCAGCGTGGTCCTGCTTACGGGATCTGCCTTATTCATAACCCAGACTAAAAAGCTGTTGCACACCAAAGTTTGCTGCAACGCAGGCACAGTAAAGTGCAGGTTTTTTGCAGCGTGGGCATCTGCCAAAGGAAGGTTTTGGGTCTGACATCGGTGCCAGTTGGAGGCAGGGATGCAGGCAGCAGCTCCAGCTCCTTCGCAGCCTCGGCCATGGAGAAACATCTCGGCTGACTCACCCCTGCCGTCCCTCCTCTCCTTCCCAACCCTTTTCTCTGCAACCCTCAAGTGGTTTCTTTATGGACAGAAGATAGACTTCCAGTTGGTTTTTTCTTTTTTTTTTTCCAAGCACAAAGCACAAGGACAAAAAAAGGGCTGTACCGTTTGGATAACCAAATCATCCAAGAGTGTTAAAGCATTCATCAGAACAAGGGGAACGACATGGCAGGCTTTCCCGGTGATAAATATCCCTTTGATTAATGCAGAAAAGAAAAATCCCACACTAACTATGGAGACGTGGAGTTTTAATCAGCCTTAACAAAGCAGAACTCCTGTTTGTACGCAACTAGAAACAGAAAGCATCATTTAATGGCTGTCAATTAGTGTCACGCTCCGCTGCTAACATATCCATCAAGATTAAATAGTGTCTAATGCTGACATAACATTTACACTTGTTTGTGCCAAATCATTTATTTAAAGCTTAAAAAAAAAAAAAAAAGAAAAAAGGCTGCCTTTGGATAATGTAGCTGTTGACTAACATTTGCATGCAATAAACCACATACTTGGCAAGGACTCGCAGGACTGGAGCCAAGAAAAATCGTCAACTTGACCTACACAACATTTGCAAACCAGAGCAGTGGGAACAAGTTCGCTACATGGAGCTAAATAGGGGATGGAAAATGCAAGGACACCCGAAGTGCCAGGCTGTATCAAACTGGTGTTTCGCCCCAGTTTTGGTACCCAGTTATTACAAAGATGTTTTGGAGGGAAGTGTAGAAAACCTCGCAGCAATGAGCACTTGGAGGCGTCTTCTGGGCTGTGCGGATGCTCCTCAAGGGAGAGAGGCAAGGTAAGCTATAAAGCACAAGGATTTAGAGCTCTTAAAAACCCTTGAGGATTTTCAATATTTACTATTCTTATTCTGGATGCTCTTGTCATCCACAGAAACACTTCAGCCCTTTCTAACCCAGCTAGCGCCTCAGTGGCAAGGCCATCCTGCGGGAGGGAGCCCCACAGCCCATTTTGAGGTGCTGGACCAGCCGGCGCTCCCTCCCCCCTTGAGCCACCCCAGCAGCAGTGATGCCGAAGCGGGGCCAGGGAAGCACAGGAGAAGCCGGGGGGCACAGTCATCGGGGCAGATTTTCACCACGATGGACAGCTGATGGGGAAAGAAAAGGAAAGGGGGGGGAGAAAAAAAAAAAAAAAAAAAAAAGTACTTTGGAGATGTGGCAAAATGCAGCTTTCCAGATTGGCGTTCCCATGGGAAACTCCTTCGCTGCCTCTCACAAAAAACCAAGGCGCATTCCTCCTCTTTCTTCTGTTATGGTCTGGGCACTATTTATTAAGAACAGCCGAAGGCAGAGGGAAATCTGCA